CCACTGCGTGGATTTTTACACTTTGTGATTTTAAATTCCTATTGTTCATCTGTGTGCCAAGATTTATATAATCCCGCTGAAATATTTTAAACTAAATTATAAAATTCTGAGCAATCCTGAACAACACTGTTTAAATGTCATCAACTACAAGTAAAAATGTAGTTAGGCCTTCCCAATCTAATTTGCAAACAATTAATTATCTATTTTTGCTTGAAAAATAACTCCAATAATGCTCTTTCTAACGGCGACAGCATAAAACTTGTTTGTTAAGCATATTTTTACTGACGTTTTCGGTGTCTCCGCGAATTTGTTGGCAATACATCTTTAAACATATATATATATATATATATATATATATACATAAAATATTATATATATAGAGATATATTTAAATGATTAATGAATCATACACAACTATGATATCATCACCAAATCAAGGCAGTTATGACAAAGTAAATATAAATTTATATAGATTTATTGAATATACACGTATACTGAAAAACAGAGAATTAGTAAAGTAGTTATCAATCTGCGATGTCACTTGATACGTAGCGATTAAATCTGCAGCGCCATGATACTGTTATCCCCCTCTGTGGCCCAGTTCATGAAGCACAAGGTTTCAAAATTATTCGTTTTTCTATCGAGATTCATCTTTTGTCATGTATATAAAAATTCCTTGTATCCATAGAAAATGTGCAGTTATGGCATTTGAATGATGTCGATACATAGAACGACACTGAATGTGAAACTATTGATGAAACACATTCCTGAATATTTTACAAGACACAAGTGTATAATACTTTTATACAAAATTTTTGTTCGTAAGACCAGGTAAATGTTAAGTTGAGGAACTTCAACCTAGATGGGTCGGCAATCAAACGTTGATTTTATACACTCTTATGAAGTTTGGGAATCCATTAAAAACAAGAAAGGTCTGTACCCGTATCATTATTTGTAAGTATAACTGAATGTAAATAGAATAAAAATTATGAGGAAGTTTTTTGGTCGCCATAGTGATCTGATTGAGAACTACTCTATTTCTGTGTGTGACATGAAGGTGGACGTATTTGAAGCTCGTTAGGTTGGTTATTGGTTCCGTTGATATATACCTTTTTCTCATTTGAGAACGTGACATTATTTGCTTGGATTGATGACGGCTTACACAATAGGTGTCGTCACTGTAGCAGAAGACGCTTACTCTTTCAGAACATCTGGTATTATTATCCTTGTACTAGTTTTATTGAATTTGAGTTTGAAGTATGATAATGTTGCCAAGTTGATATTTTCTTGATGTTCAATGAATCCTGATTTTCCAGTTTTTTCTTTGTTAATATTGAATAGTGAACGGGTATAGATTCCGCCATCATTGAGCCTTGTTATTTCTATTTGCAGGAAGTACAAAAATGACAATCAAGGATCAAATAATTAGATATCTTGTGTGTCGGAACAATCACAAAGGTGTTATGTAAATCTTGATGTATTATTTCAACACCAGGATCCTGGAGAACAAACTTGAGTTTATCTTTCAAGCTGCCTATTCTTTTAAGAATGATATACTGTTTATATTTTTTCATCAACGCTCGGTTTACATTTACACATCATCATCATCATCAGTTTACACTTAAACATCATCATCAACATGCTTACATGTAAACACCATCATCATCATCATCATCATCATCATCATCATCATCATCATCATCATCATCATCGTCATCATCATCAGTTTACATGTACACACTATTCAGGGGATTAGTTGCAGGGAACAGTTTATTTGTATTTCATTTTGAACGGTTCTGTTTGAGATATACAAGTGTAGCAGTTTGGTTATGAAAATACATCCTTACATGCATATATATTTATAAACTACATAACAATTACATTGATAGTAAAGAGATAAAAATTGTTTAAATTTCTGACATGTGATTGTCATTGTTACCACCTCAACACATGCTACTAATTTCAACCTGACGCTACAGCTACAAATATATAGCAGAAATGGTTTTCTGAAGACCTGTTTTAAAATCAACAACATCGTCATGGCAACAAACTACTTACATTTCAGCAAATTTCAACTCGGAAATCCTCCATAACATGACCACGTGTAAACACTATGAACATTTCACTTCCTCTAAAGCTAGCTTTTGGTGTGTAGACGTAGTTTCGAGACTGCTCTTATAGTAATATCCAACACAATGGAAAAATATTATTCTGAAAAAAATACGAAGCCCCGCAGTGTCCACTTCAACATGACATGAACAATTTTAGCAAGGATTTATTTTTTCAAATTTTAATTTAACCTTTATAATGGTATAATCTAATGAACAAATATATCACCCCTGGCCACACCGAAAAACTGTACTGCTACCAAGAGTGTTTACTATGTCTATATATTGGTACATTATCACATTCATCAGCATATTCATCAACTGGCATATATACACATTATTACCATTACCATCATTTATACATAAACATACTCCTTTCTCTCTCTCTCTCTCTCTCTCTCTCTCTCTCTCTCTCTCTCTCTCTCTCTCTCTCACACACACACACACACACACACACACACACACACACACACCATAACAAATACATAAACACACAAATGAATACCAAATAGCGAAATACAGAGAGACAGAGAGGCTAGACTAGGAATGAAACGCACAAGTTGCATGTGCAAGTTATATAGAACCAAAAGTCCACGGTGAGAAGTAATAACGTAAGTTTTAAATAACGCAATAGTTTAAATATGTAATACCATTAAACTGAATTTATCAGAACATATGGAGTTAAGATCTTAGCCGTTCTCTTTTTTATGTAAGACTTAATCATGATCAAAATTTCATTGTGTAAGCGATAACTTGTAAGATTCTCATTATTTACAAATATTTACACAAATCCGTCAATTTTGTCACAAGTGTTTTGTTGGGGTCAATACCATCTAGCTACGGAAGAAATGGTATGGTGAGCGTTTTGTTGATCTGAAAAAAGGTCAGGAGGCAAAATCCACATATTACCAATCTATCATCGAAAGTAACCTAAACAATCCTAGTAAATTATGAAAATTCGTAAGGGATCTTGTCCCAAAGCATGACTATTACTCAGGGATCTATATTGGGACCTCTTTTATTTTTAACTTTTATAAATGATCTTCCCTTAGAAATACAGTGTAAAACTGATATGTACGTTGATGACACAACTCTATCAGCTTCTGATTCTTCTATTTTAAATGTCAAAAAATAATTACAATGTGACCTAAATGCAGTCGAAAACTGGTGTACAGAAAATAGAATGATTATTAGTGCTGACAAAACAAACTGTATGGTTATAACCACTAAGCGGAAACATAGTAGAAATGATTATATCTTAGATCTGTCTTTAAACAATACAGAGCATGACCAGGTACAGTCTGCTAAAATACTGGATGTAAAAATTGATAAGTGTTTATGCTGGGAAGATCATGTCAAATATGTATTAGGAAAAATGTGTGTGTGTCTGTTGAGAAGAATTAAGGGAATACCTGCTAAGGAACGCTAGAATCAAATATTTTAATGTATGCGTTTTCCCCCACTTCCTGTATTGTTCAATAGTCTGGAGCGTAGGTTTAAAAGAAATTGTCACAAACGCTTTACAAAGCTCAAAAGCAGGCAGCAAGAGTGATTTTAGATGTACCATATGACACTCCATCTGCTGATTTGTCTTGTGTTTAAAACTGGTTGTCATTAGCTGATTTTTATCGTTACAGGATAGGTTCAATGGTATACAAATATGTTCATCATCTTGTTCCTGAATATTTATGTAGTTTGTTTGACTTAAAGTCTGATATCGATACCAGATGTACAAGATCAAGCCATGACAGTATTTTACATATTCCTAAACATCGTACCAAGTTTTATGGGAATAATTTTGTAGTTACAGGAAGCCAACTCTGAAACAATTTGCTGAATTAGGTAAGGACGGCAACACGTTTTACTTTCTTTAAACGTTCCCTCAGTAATCACCTCATGGAGCATGGATGAACAGATTTCAAAATAAAATTGTATAAAGAACTTTTTAAAGTGTATTCAATATTTTAGCATATTATTATCCTACTGTCTTACCTATCAAATTTTAACCCATAATTAACTGTTTATCATCCAGAGTATGTCTTGTGTCAACATTGCAAACACACATTATTATATTTATGCCAATCTAAATTGTTATCTGTGATATCTTGCTTTCTTACTACAGGTTCACTATGTATATACCATATGTAACTTTTAACTAGCACATATATAATGTATTTTACTAACAAGAGGACCATATGGAAGATTAGCCGTTGGCTAAATATGTAATCCTCAGAAAATATTTTTTTTTATTATTATCAAAACGACAGCAAAACGACGCTTACCGCACGTCGCGTTCATGAAGCTCACGTATATAGCATAGTGTTATACCGTTTCCACTCGCCTTCTTCATGTGTTAGTATTGTACTTTACTAATCATAATCTCACTATAATATGTATAACAATGAATTATAGTTTATTTGTAAGTTTGTTGTCACCTTTACATCCCTTGATGAAGTCATGTTCCATAAAAATATCGATAGTTTGAAATGAAATATTGAAATATATTTGTATCTTTCCATCACTACTTAGAGGAATAGAATCAGGTTACTTCATGGGATCATCGGCGGATATTTCCCCCGAGAAGAAAACTCTATATCAGAATATTAATCCTTAAAATTCTGATTAATCTGCGTTTATGCTTGTTCATTGAAATTAGCTATACTATAACAGTTATAAAAAATATTTATTTGCGTAGATTTCATCATTTATTTTACGTGCATCGTTTAAATAGGTGCGTTATCACGAACCTAGTATCCATTAGATCGTTACCATACTTATCTTGAGTAAAAGACTGAGCTGGCCGGTAGAGGTAGTATTCCCCAGATACCGAATATGTACCATTACGAAATATAAGACCACGTTTGACACAATTTGATTTCACTTATGGAAAAGATGGATATAAAGGTGAGAAAACTTCGATTTTGGATTGACTTTGCGATGACATGGTGGAATTTATGTCACGTCATTGCGGGTAAGTGTTTTCTCCCTTTGAATGACGACTGAATCAGTTACAGCTATAAGAAAATATCGTTCAACCTTAAGGTGTTTTCCAGTTTGTTATGTTTATTTTAGTAATTACTTGTTTCATCTGTTTTCCTTTCTTCATTGTTTTGTTGAGACTAGATTTACATTTTTGTTTTCCGTTTACATGCCAATACACAGTCTTTGTCTAGAAATTTCTATTGTTGTCAATGTTAAGATTGTGATATGACGGTTTTAATTGATATAAATGACTTATACTAATTTATCTACAGTAAATGTTTGCTAAACCCTTTCGTCCGTCTAATGTGCGCATGACTAGTTATCTTATATGTTCCTATATTTATCCTACATACAGTTATAGATAAATTACAGATTCTTCATATCAAGAAATGCAATTCAAATTCCTTCTGATCAGATCCTATATTTGTTTCATGTTACTCTTTACAGTATATATTTTTTGTACATTCAATATTTTTTTCTGTTACACTGGACATGCAACTGTGAACATACAACACAAATACAACAGCAAAAATGACATTTGATGAAAAAAGGTTCAGGGAACGAACGTTACACTGCTTGAGATATCTTACAATGGAACAATGTTTTCCGGCACAATAAAACGCCAGCGCTTGCTTTGGGAATTATATTTTCTTGTATTTTCTCTTTGCTCTGTTCTAGACCAGACAGTCTGTTCGGAATACCTTGTGTCAGGACTCTATGGCTTGGATGATTCGGCTTTAGATGCATCATCTTCAAAGCCTTCAAGTTTCGGCGGTATTCTCAGTCCACAAAATGCCAGGCTTTATACTAATGGAAAGCTCTGCTTGGCATTCGAAAAACGAGGATACTTGACAGTATATACAGGTATGTTTTTTTATGTGAAAAGGCCAAGCCTGAAAAGGCATTGCATTTACCAGCTTAGTACACATGTATTCGTAATTACTACAACAGCGGTATCGGACTGAAATAATTCATAGGTATCTGTAACGATATCAGAAAACAAAAAAAGAAAGCTGGTGTCATGTAGCGAATAGGCTCGAGAAACATAGGACCAGGTATCGCCAAAAGTAAAAGACTTATTTATCGGTATGACGTCATGTTTAAGTAATAATGGGTTAACAACAACATAATAATCATGCATAAAATACTTTGATTAGGGTATTATATCAGAAGTATTGAATAGTATAGATAAGTTTTGAAGGTAGTTTCATAATGACTATAGATTCAAAGGTATTAATACGAAGATTTATATACTGGGCACACTATTGAAAGATAAATATTTGTGTCAAAGGGTAAAAATATTTTAGATATGAACACCGGAGAGAAGCTTAACAAAAACAACACAATTCTGACCCACTTTTTATCAGTATCATTCATGTGTGTCGTGTATGATTTCAGAAAAGGTTCATAACCCTCTAAAACAAAGTGAAAGGCCCACTGGCGCTGAAAATTCAAAATTCTTCAGTGGGTTCAGCGACGTTATGAATAGTGAGTGTGTTATCGATTGGCCCCAATAATTGCACGACATCGGTTTGGCATGTTGCGAATCAGGAACCGTATAGTTGTTTGTGGAATCCATGAAAATTTATGACGAATATCAACAGCAAGCTCTTGTATGTTGACATGAAGTCGTAAACGATCGTTAATGCGTTGCTGTAACATGTCCCACATTTGCCAGATCAGTTAAGGTCGGATGGAGATTAGGCCAGTCCATAAGCGCGATATATGTCGTCGATCACAAACACACGCGTTCATGTGATAAATAGTTTGTTCCTAACATTATGTCATCCACATGACCACTTCGGCATTGATTTGAGTTCCATTAAGGGAAACCACTAGCTCCACCTCCCTCATAGGAGACTGGTCTCTTGATGATGTAGGTGGGGGAGTCGGAGAACTTGACCGACTTGGAAAGTTTCCGTTAGGTTCAGGGAGCATGAAACGAAATCTCCCTGTTTATGGAACTCTGATCTTTCAGATACAGTGGTATGGACGGTGATATCCGGTACCTACAAGTATACGTGACATGACTTTCTTAACTATTTCGCTACTTGTTGAAGTGCTTTTTATTGTTTCTTTTTCATTATGACAATATAAAACTGAATGGGTGTCGGACTCGAGATTCAAACATGGCTCAGTGGTTAGCTACCGATGCCTTAAAATACTTATTAAATACTTATTTATTGTTTTAGCATTTATTTCTTCCATCTTTTCTCTACAGCCCTCAGAGATGTTTCTGCATCACGCTGGTCATATGTGGTGTTGTCTGCATGAGCAATAACATATAGCAAAGTCTGTATTCGCTGTGCAAACTCGGCTAAACTCTCTGTTTCCTCCTGTTTATCACATTAGCTTTCCCGGTCGGTCACTACAGTGAGATCTTTATTACTAAATCTCTTTTATTTTCTGTTTCAATATTTCAAATGATTGCATCACCAACATAACAGTAAACAAATTGAGTAATTCTTTAAAGGCTCCATGCGTTTTCCTAAATTATACAACCTAACTTGAGGGCAAATTGCTTTCATCTTCCCATCCCTGACTACATGGCCATATTGACATCTGTGACAACGATGATCGCCCATCCGTCCAACATCAGGGCTGTCACTACTCCTACATTACGTGACTACTCCTCTCCCCTAAGTTGAGAAATCGTATGAGAGTTACTACTTGAGGGACTTGTACGTCTGCCTCTAAAAGTAGTTTGATATTGGTCACATGAACGACTTAAACCTGTGTCTCGTCAGTCAACCGGGCCGCGTCGCGAGTTATGATAGTCAACATTCATTCTACTCTCTGTCAACGGCTATATTTCTATTGGGTATGGATGGTAGGTTTCAGTCTACTAGTGGAACCGCTGTTCTTTAACCCTATTATTAGTTCTAGCTAACTGTACATCATCATGATTGGGGTTCTCGCTTTTAACATTGTTTTGTCCTGGCTGAGAGTCCATGCACTCTAGCAACGAGTGCATAATCTGGGTCCCATGTATTCCTATCATCTGATAACCGATGGTGGTCAGTTGGTGGATGTCAGCCTGGTTGTACCTATTATCCTAGGGTGTGTCCCTATCCAAGGGAGCTAAATTACCAACTTGGATATCACAACCCTGTGCTTTTGGTTATAAAGTGTTAAGCGACTGACTCCTAGGTTGACACTCTCCACTGTAAATCACAAAGGTCTGATTCATGTTTATATCCCGATTGACTAGCCTTCTGTTCAGCACCTGATAATGTTAACACGTGTACTTTGTTCCCTCACAAATCTGCCATCCCTAGGCATGGCCTGTAGTGTGGATCCAAAACAGTTATCAACGTCCTAACAGTGTGATAAAGTTGTTGGTGCCTGTACCTTAGTAGTAATAGAATAATTCGGTGTACGAAACCATGAGTGTGCACATATTGACTTCTCCGAGACGTTGGCCATGTTACAGTTCCTGGATTTGAACCAACATCAGTCTCTGACCTAATTAAGGGCATCTGTGTACTTGTCAACATTAATTCTTTTGAGCTCCTTCTGCAGTTTTCTGAAGTACCTGGTTTCCATGAAGTCCATCTTCAGTTTACCAGTGATTGTATTACTACGTAGGGACATAAAATTGTAAAACTAGTTGTTTTCAAGGCACTAATTTAATGCCTGTAACAACTCTTTCTGAAAGCCATCCCTGCTACATATATCCATACCTATATATCCATACCTGTTGTTATTTTCTAAACAAACACAGAAAAAAGAAAAATAATACCTTTTTAAGGTCCCTAACGATCTAAAAGACGCACACCCGGCCTTTATTTGGCAATAATTGAAAACAACGTGTAAGAAGCGCAAGGTTTGTTCAAAATTACCTACGGCTAATCATAATAAAAACAAATTCTAAACTAGCACGCTTGAGAACAGGCCTGGTCTAAATGCGTAGTTTGAAAGTTAGAAGTCCAAAGAGCACCTTCGTGCAGGTTCGCGCCAAACTTCACAGGGGTTCTACGATATCTCGCGTCGTCCATGTCACTTTGTCAGTATTGACAACCAGGGGAGATAATTTTCCCCGGTTTTCCATAAAATTTAATTTAGGATCTGATAACATGATGGATATCAGCTTTCGAATATAGAAAAGAAAACACAGCATTCTGATCGTTGTGATACATTTCATAAATTATATTTCATAAATGAAAGGGAAAACAAACATTCCCCATAAAAGTTTTAAAGGCATAAATTCCCATTTACTTTAATAACCAAGCGCCAGTAAATAACAATTGACTGATATACCGGCATGTTTTAGGTTCGGTTTCCGAGAGAGACAGTTGTTGACACTGTGATATTACAGGGCCGAGGAAGTCACCGGACTTGGGTCAAGACATATTACATTTCGTACAGCATTGATGGCAACACATGGACTGTAGTGACTTCACAAAACAACCAACCGAAGGTACGCTTGACTACAGCAGTGAACACAAAGGATTAGTGTTAAGAGTATATTTTATCACAAATTGATACCAAATATCATGAAATATAAGTATTTTATTTATATACTATGTAACAATCATAGGTAATTTTGTCCTTGATGATTGAGTTGCTTTATCATCATACATTTTGTTCATCTTAGCTTATTTCAATCCCCAGTATATACATTTGCAATTATTATCATTTAATATTACTTCATATTATTCGTAAAATATAGAGAGAGATGTGTATTTCATCATCAAGATGCTGAATCTGAGGAAGTGTTTCGTATCTATTTAAAAAAATCTCACATTCGTGTCGATTTGATATTTAACTTCACAAATAACTTGATATGTCTGTATAGGTAAGGCTCATGATATATCCTTTTTTTAAATTCACTTGATGAATTCGGTATTCTGTTTCTTTTTCGAAATGTATTTGAAGGATTACATGTTTGACATATTTCGATATGCAATTAATTCCAACATAATGTGTTACACTTTCGTGTTCGCATACACTTTGTGTATTGTTTGTGTCAATCAGTGTACTTGTAAACTGCAAAAGGGCGATTTAAATGACGTTTTAAAGAAACTTCGATTGTTGATTTCGTTTTGACGGCTTGATCCGGTTAATTTCAACGCTTTCTGGTTGCTAAGGTCTTTTGTAGTTGTCAAATAGATTTTATTTGATTTATCACAATTTATCGCAGATTTCAAACTCCAAATTTCCTGGAATCTTATCACACAAAATAAATATTTCAGCTTGTTTCTTGATCTTGAGAAAGAATGAAAATGTCAAAAAAAAAAAAAAAATAAGATAACCACTCTTTTTGGCAAAATCTATACTGTATCGAGCATATTGAATCAAATGAAAAAATAACATTTTAACAATATCTGCTCCTTACAATTTTAATACCATGCAATAAAAGACGGAAATATATTCTTAAAAATAAATCATGTTTTTTTTCCTGTTACATATATTCTGACGGCTACATTAGTAAAAGGATTGCCTTTTACCTTTCTAAAATGTATCCGTACAAATAAACTGTAGGAGTACATTCTTGATTTGTTGGAATAGTATCAAACGTCATAACTCATTCTATAAGCATGTGTTCTGCGTCGGGTACATATATCAGTATTTTAGTTTCCTATTTTTTGTTTTTTGCAAAACGGTAGATGTTTACTGGAAACTATGATAGCAATACCTTGGTGAAATCGAACCTTGTTCCAAATATCACTGCGCGGTACATTCGAATCTATCCCCAAAGCATACATCGACACATTTGTCTTCGATTTGACCTTAGCGGTTGCTACAAAGTTGAAGAAACAGGTATGTAAAAACATCGCTATTAATTTTTTTTCCTTTCACAATACAGGACAGGGAAGCACCTATATACATGATTTGTATATGATAACGTACCACCAACACGAAAAACTCATCTTTTGGACCTTTGTAACTTGAAAATTGAAAAGAAATTAAATACTTTTTTATATATAAATTGCGATTTCAATAACTTTCTCAAAAAATATTAGGATATTTTTTAAGTATATGAATCTGTCATTATCAGATGGCAACAGGTTTAAATCTCTTATATGTGAAAATAAAGTAATATTGTCAATTATTCTATTATCTTTCCCTTTAATATCCATGCAGAAGAAATTAACTTGTTTATTTTAAAATTATAGTCCTTTATTCCAGAGCGATACTCAGAATTCAACAGAGTGCCAATCTTACCACCTATAGAATATGAACAGCATGTTTTGCTTGAGATACAGTCAAAAAATCTTCCAGCGTGTGGTAAACTATGCCACATGGAAAAGGAATGTCGTTTCTTCAACTTTGACATCATCCAGAAAAAATGTAGTATGTTCTCCTTAATGCATACAACATCCACAACATTTTCTGCCGAAATGACGCCATTTTTTTTCAACAAAGGTTAGCTATATATGATTGAACATAATATTTCATAAATCACCACAAATGTACAAAAATCAGGTATGTGCATTACTGAGAATCGATGTTACCTTTTAACAAACTATTCCACTTTTATGTATTAAATTGCAAATGTTATTTTCATGTAATAATGGTGAAGAGATGTCGGGGTTTAAGTAGTTTTCAATATCTTCTATGATATTCATGTAACAATGTTAGAGGACTGCGGTAGTCATGAGGTGGTTGGGATATAACGCTAATTCTTGCAATCGTAAACTATTTCATCTTAGCAGCAGTAATATTGTTAAGTTAAATGATTAAACCTTATAGCTTTTAGAGAATTGATGAACTTCAGCAACTTCACTGTCTTTTGAATTTATAGCCATAGTTTATAGTAATGCCAAACACTGCAGTTGTCTTTCAACCTTGCAAACACATGCACTGAATTATGCACGATATCGTTGCTGTTTTCCCAATATTCAAACAGCGAGTTTCTCCAATACAAAATTCATTTAATCCACTAACATAACACAACTTCCTGATCTGTAAGTAGTATTTCAGCCAATTTCTTCAGTTCATGAAATTATCCTTTATCATCAAAGTAATTTATCATTAGCGTAGGCGATACCTTGCAGATGGATATCACACCAGGTAGAAATTCTCAGTGGAAAAAATCCACTTATATCATTAAAAGGTTAGGTTGTTTTGAACTTTTAATCATACAGTTACGGGACAATGATTTAGATTGTATAGCCCTGTAGCTCTTTTTTTCAACTTTAAGGTAAATATACGTCTCTTGGTTACCGTCAAATTCAACACGGAAGGTTCATGTATAAAGTGAACGAAGTCAGTATGAATCAGGAGAGTGCTTCCAAGGAGTGTATGCAGCAACGTTCATGTCTGATCAAGATCGACTCCGCATCCGCCATGTTGAGTCTACAGAATGTCATCGCCGGAAACGTTAGACTGGGTAGGAATAGACGTCCATTTTTATTTCTTTAAACTTTTAATCAGCTGTTTCGTGTCTGACAAATGGATGATATTTGATAGTTTTTTCGCTTAATATCACATATCTCGAATTGACATCATATATAAGTACAACTAAAAAACATACATGTCGACTTTTTGGTTTGAAAAAAATTGTCGAGTTAAGTCGCAATATTTTCAATAGACCTATTTTTAGTGTTTCTAACTGTTCTCTTCTGTTCCCTGGTTTAATTTACTAAAGAGCGTATCGAAGCAGGTCACAACGTCTATGAAAAATCGCCAATTTCACCATCAAATGTACTGATGATGTCTTGTATTTCAATAATAAGGAACATCCATCTTTATCAATAACGTAACCAACATGGATAGCTTTTCACCAAGCTTTATGGCAAGTGTGATAATTCTAATTTCCTTACGGTGAATTTTCCTTTCAAAGACAACAATAGTCCTGTATCTACAAATTATTCTCTGAACATGTCGAAGCTGATCTAATATCCAATAGCATAATCCAGGGTCTGGATTTTCTTGCAAAAAACACGGAAGAGTAAGCGTCTTCTGCTTCATCGTCGACACCCGCAACGTAAACTTGGTTAATCGAAATAATTAATGCCAAGTGTTCTCAAATCAGAACAAGGTATACAACAGTGGAACCAGCAAACAAACTGACGAATACTAAAGACCTCTAGATTTTATACCACACAACTTCCCCGTAAGTTTCATCAACAAGTTTGAACACTTAAGTTGAATTATGTGTAAGTGGTTAAACCGAGGTAAGTAGTGGTCAATCATTCCTAAACCGAGATAAGTATTGGTCAGTCCGTTCTAAACCGAGATAAGTATTGGTAAATCATCTCTAAACCAAGGTAAGTTTTGGTGAATCATCTCTTAAACGATGTAAGTATTGGTCAATCATTCCTCAACCGAGGAAAGTATTGGTCAATCAGTCCTCTGACCGAGATAAGTATTGGTCAATCATTCCTAAACTAAGGTATCGGTCAACCAATCCTCTGACCGAGATCAATATTGGTCAATCCGTCCTAAACCGAGATAAGTATTGGTCAATCATCTCTAAACCGAGGTAAGTATTGGTGAATCATCTCTTAACCGATGTAAGTATTGGTCAATCATCTCTAAACCGAGGTAAGTATTGGTCAATCAGTCATAACCAGGGGTAAATAATGATCAGTAACTTCTAATGATATGATATTCCTAGATCTAATTCTTTGTTCATGAAACTATCATGCTAGGCAGGTAAATTGCCAGTCAAATATATTGGTTAGTTTTAATGGCTTGTCTGATTTATCATACTTTTTATTTTATTTTAATGACATTCTAGAACTAATTTTATAAAAGATATTGTTCTGTATCAAAACATGAAACATGACACAAATATTTTCCTTCTCTTTTTTGCAGAACTTGGCTACTCTCACTTGTTTGTGTCCGGTAGGTATTTGTCCATGACATGGCAGCACAATGACGGCTCAGCGTTAAACAGCTCCCTCTGGTCGTCAGGCAACCCTGACCCAGGTCAAGGTCACTGTGTAGTGATGACACCGACTGGCCTTGTCAGCGCTAATTGTTTGGAGAAACATTTCTCTATTTGTGGTTTTTAGAGCAAATCACTCTGAGAAAACGCTATAGAATTAAATTATATAGTGGATTAGAATATCATTCACCACCTAAGTGCCATATTGTATTTTTAGCATAATATTGAAGTTATTTGTAAAAATCAATTAAATTAGGATCTCTGAGAATTATTCTTGAAATCAATATATGATCAATGGAGTAATAAGACAGGACAGACAAATAAACAATAAATAGATAAAATATTACTTATATTTGCTTATTAGGATACATAACTAATATTGGACCACACTGTCGATATAACGTACTATATATAAAATTTATATCCATGCGGTTGAGTTTACCTTTTTACTTTTTTTTATTATTCTAGCTTTTTAAGTGCACTCAAGAGTGACTGTTCTTTTTCCATTGCTATAATCTAACAAAGAATACACTTCTTGTTCTTGGAGTTATTTACAGATACTGAAATAGTGACAATTTGTTTCTGTAATGTTTCTATCCATATACCACTATTCAGATTACATCTATCAAAGTACTATTTGAACTTCTGTCAAGAACTTTCCATATCTTGGTGATATGATATGATCGAAAGGAGATTTGGTAATGTCATTTAAAAATATAAAAATAATTGTGCATTCTCAGCAGGTCTCTTTAATATCTGAAGTGATCAGTTTTTATTGGCTGCATAATTCATTTTATCTTATACATTAGTATATTTAAGTATGAAACTAATATAAAATAATGTATATTTTTCTTTTACTTTTTTTGCATATAATTAGTATATCTTTATTGTGAAGTTCAGTAAACTGTACAATATGATTTAAATTTTGATAAAATATTTCTATCGTAGGGTTTTCTTTCTCAAAGCAATGATAAAACATATAGTACTGAATTGAACGAGTTAAAGGTAGCAGTACACAGTGTAGTCACTGGCGAGTTATTTGTTCATTAGATTATCGCGTAATAAAGGTTTTAACTAAAATTTAAAAAAAAATAGATCATTGTTAAAATTGGTCTTGCTATGTTGAAGTGGGGTTTAATTCTTTTCAGAATGATATTTTAGCCTTGTGTTCGAGATTACTATTTGAGCAGTCTCCAACCTGTGTCTAGGCACCAAAAACAGTGTTGTTAATTCTAACCCAGATGTTCAGAAATAAATTTCTTCTACGTTGTAGCGTTAGTTTGGAATATGCAGTTTTTTCTTTTTTTTTTTTTTTTTTTTTTGGTTTTTTTTTTTTTTTTTTTTTTTTAATTTTCTAACTACTATACTTTATATAACCGACATTACCAATAATTCAGAAAAAAATTCAAATAAGCTGTTTCCTAATACCTTATTTTTAATGCATACTCATCAATATTACTCAGTCGACGTGCATCTAATAAGTTGTTTTACGACTGTGCTTTCACTGTTTGATATCTTTTTATTGCTAATATACATAATATTTAACTTAACAAATAATGTACGCATGTTAACATATTTATAAATCATCCCGAAATCCTCATTAGTTACTGTATTTGTTACTTATAATTTTTGATGTGTAAAATTGACCCATTTGGGGTGAAATAATCGAAAAATCATGAACCTTTTTCAGAAAAAAATATGCTTGGAAAAAGAGTTACGATCACTACGAAAAGACCGTAAAGATTCAAGGTAGTACAATATTTCTACTAGAGTTGTCGTTCTTTACAGTCACGACGTAGGATACCACAACGCACTCTTGGATCAATTTAACTAGTCATAAATTCTTTCAGAAGTGAAAAACGAAACATTTCTACGATTGGGTTAAAGGGACCATTTTATGACCCTTGTTGTATCAACTGAATGTTTTATGGCAATGTGTGTGTTGTTTTTGTGGCAACTATGTACTGTTTGTGGCAATGTGTGTGTTGTTTTTATGGCAAGTGTGTGTGGTATTTTTGACAAATATGTGTGCTGTTTTTGTAGCACTTGTGTGTGTTGTTTTTGTGGCAACTGCGTGGGTTGTTTTTGTGGCAATGTGTGTGCTGTTATCTCGGCAATTGGGTGTTGTTTTTGTGGCAACTATGTGTGTGTGCGTTTTTTTTCAACTGTGTATTGTGTGTGATGCAGATTGTATAATCTACAATTTTGTGAATTTCATAAAGCCTTGAATTATATAGGTGAAAGGTGTCAGGTGACGGAAATGTCGTTAGTTTCGAAAGAGTTGTCTCCCCTACGCCTTTTGGAATTATTTCGTTGCTAATTACTTTTTATCCTGACTCTCTTCAAATAAAATATGACACTGATATCAAAAAATATATGCAAACTAAAGGAAACAAAGCTAACATACCCACCCGCTTTAGACCACTGAAGGCCGGTAATGATTGTAAATTGTTCCATCCTCTAACCCGGACGTTTAGAGCGTCATGATTATATAACAACAGTTCAAGAAGTAGATCTGCAGTTATATACATATAATTGCTATATTATCTTATCATAGTACATAGTAATATATAGTATCAAAAAGACCTTCTATATTGGATTCCGAAACTTCACATGAATCCATATATGCTGGCTCGTCTAGCTGTTTAACCAAGCCATTGTCGAATCTTCTTACCATTGTTAGTACTTTCAAATCAAGGTCTTATTGTGATAATGATTAATTTAGAAGGAAGTGGAATTAATGTTATGTAGATTTTTAAGAACTCAAAAAGAGATTTTGACAAACTGCCAACACCCTTCTATAAACATATTTGATTTCCCCACGCTGTACACCACGATACCCAATCCAAATTGAGAGATCGCCTTTGATTACTCTTGATAACTTTCCTTTCCAAGAAAGGTATACGGTGGTGCAAATATCTGGTTGTGAATTCTACTGACACGTAAACGTCCAAATCAAAGCAGAACATATACGCAGGACGCAATCATACAAATGCATGAGTTCCTGCCCAACTACATATTCGTCAACAGCATTATGGTATACCTATGAAAACTTGCTTTTGTTTTCAAACAAGGCTGAATTTATCGAAATGTTTATCAAGACTTTGCAAGTTCCTTCAATTTCACCTTCATATATATTTTGTTTGTGTCTTATCCTTAAAAAGTCAGGGCCATGGTAGATTCTTCTACGATAGCCACTTTCCGTGATCATTTCCTATATTAAAACCAACAAGGGCAGCTTTCAATAAAGTTGTATGTGTAGCGTACATCACAGGCAAATATGGAGTATTGTTACAGTTGACATATAGCGATCTCATTGATAAATATTTTATTTTGTATGTGATATGAAGCTTGACGTGTTTGATGCTCGTTCGTTTCCTTCTTGATATTGTATTTGTGTACCCTGTTCTATTTTTAGAATGTAACATTACATACGTGTATAGACAAGGATTTACCTGGCGGGTGTCATCGATGAAGCAGAAGACACCTTTCTGGAATACGTTTTTATCTCCAATTATTTCTCAGGAGTCTCGGTGGAATTTTTTGTTTTCATATTTTGCCCCGGTCGATTTCATCCCATTTGAGTATAGTATACGATTATAATGACGTTTTTATTCTATTGGTTCTTATTGTAGAGTTAATGTATAGAGGGTTTAACAAGAGTTTCAATTCATGCGAAATAGTTATACTAAGAAATTTCAAATGGTCGAACGAAAATTAGAATATCGAGTCGATCATTCTGTAATAAGTCTTAAACACTTTTTTAAACAAATGAGAACATAAATTTATTAAATCGGTTCAAATTATAATTTTGCGATGTCCTGCAAAAGAATAATTTCAATCATCGTCGCATTAATTTTCTTTGTGCTTCATCTTAACATCTTTGTACAGCCTCACTTTTATTTGATATGATTGAACGCGTTACATATTTGTATTCATATGTTCAAATCAAAGCTTTAGTCAGGTTTATTTGTCACTTAGATAAATGGTTATTCTGCATTTAAATGAATGATTACTAATTCAAGGGACTAAATGGTAGGGAATGTCGACCAGGGTTAGTTTGAAGCTGATAATCTTTATCAATCAATTTATTTCCATAAAGTGCTAAAATATGGTGAATAATCTACTTTTAAGTATCACAACGCTTGCCCGATATCAAACGCATGAAAAAAATAACGAAATATAACCATTTAGTCCCTTCAAGTTGTTTATGTTTTGTTGAATACATTGTACAAGTATACAGTTGGTTTTCATCAATTTTATCCGTAACAAATAGGAGTTTAATGTCTAGATCTTGTATTTAGCAATGACGCAAACAACAGCTAGTTTGATTCTGTTGTGTTAGATATCGTTTGTATGTATATAATAAATATTTGGGCAAATTCCATATGAGTTTTTCTTGTTATCTCAGAACAAACGCAGATACCGTAAATTATATATTGTGGTTTTCCTGGAGACTCTTCTTTGTAGAAATAGCAGATTTCTTTTGATATTGTTTTCATATATATGAAGGTCCGTCTGTCTGTAGTTTGAAACTTTTGACTGAAAGTGTTTAACGAAGGTATACAAAGTTAATTGCCTCCTCGGTAAATCAACCAAGAAACTTTTGATCTAGAACATGTCACTTGTCCACCTGTACTTGGTGGTAAAATATATCACTACAAAGGTCAACAAAGGTCGCTGGTATATTGTTTATCAGTATGGTATTATTTCAATGAATTGTACTCAAACAGATTTGAAAATCAAAGACATTTTTATATTGATTAACATCATTGACTTATTTGACCTTTGATCTATGGTTACCTATGTGTTGACCTTTGACATAATATGATGTTCTGAAATAAAATAGTATACATGCATTTGTTCTCTGATATCAAAATGTCTGAAATATCAATAAAACTCGATGACCAATTTGAATTGAGACCTTGACCTTGGATCACAGACATACGGGTATTGACCTGTGTAAACCTTGGACAGAAATTTATCAGTACAGGAATGATCAATCACCTGAAATTTCATCAACATTTGTCAAGAAAAGCTTACAGACGACGAACAGAGGATGATACACGACAGATGCAGTCCTATTGGAATAACAAACTTGAGAAATAAGGCTCTGGAGTGCTAGAG